ACTGCAAGGTCTAAAAAAACCCCTCTCCTTTATGCCCTGAGCACCTAAAGCCTACTGAAGGCAAAAAGATAGCCGCCCCCATGCCCAGAGATCCGCAAGGCAGTCAAGCAGTTGTTTAAATTGTTGCCAGTGTGGGTCGTACTGTAAAGAAGTCAGGAATTTTGTAAATTCCTACAAATAATATTCGCTGGAGTTGTTAATAAATCTACCATCCATTTGTGCACGTGACACCAGTCAGAGCGCTAATCGCGCGGGTGCCTGGAGAGGTGCGTTACCCAGCTGTGGTGGCTGCCGCAAGACGCCGCAAAGCATGGTGGGGAACTTCGATGACCCACAGTGGAATTCTGGATATGCTACAGGTAGCAGAAAAACAACTGCAGACATAAAATACGGCTTTTCTGCTTGCTTCCCGTTACCGGCTCTCTCATTAGCTCACTGCATGATCTCAGACAACTTGCTTCATCTCTAGGACTTCTTTTCCATAAACCTTCCAAGATCATTATATTTCCCCGAGTACAAACTTACTCAGATAGTCTCCACGCTTTTCAAGATACCTTTCTTTGGAAACAAATCCTTAGATGACCTGCATAAACTCGGTGTCTGCGCCTTTGTCTCTATTCCAGTCAAGGAGCAGTTTACAGGAGAGCAAAAGCAGCATAGGGAGCGCATGGTAAACTTCTTCTATCAGCATGCACAGCTGCAAAATTACAGGGTTTGTGTTTCCCTGGTCTACATTTTCTTTTTTTTTAATTACTTTTTTTTTTTTTAAAAAAAAGCAAAGAAATCTAGAAAGCCAGTGTATACCCATGAATATACATATGCAATTATGACATATTCTTTAGGCAGAGCCTATGTCTTACTGTGCATTCAGGCCTCATGTCTGGCATTACACAGTCTCAGTACAATCACGATTGGGATATACTTTTGCAACAAACTGTGCTGCAAACATGAACGCTTTAAGTTTATTTTGCAATTCTGTTTAGAGGACGAACCACAAAAACATAGACTTTTAACATAAGACATTCACTTCTCCTGCAGAGTAATCATTCTTAGGTGGCCAAAGCAACTTTGTCCAGGTTGAAAGGTATACAGAACGATGTGCTTGACAACAGTTTGGCTTACAGCCAGAGCTGCGTTCCAGCGGGGAAAAAAAACACAAAAACAGCAAGTAGGCAAGAATTAAGTTAGAAAAACAAAGCCGGGATGGATCACTTACTCATTGCTTGGTCTGTGAACCTGGACCAGCTTGTTATGTTTTTGTCTTATGGCTCTTAATAGTGTCTGTGCCAGAGGATTTTCTACAACTTTGTAATAACCTGCACCACTGCTCAGCTCTCTACCTTGCAATCCTATAAAATTGAGCCTAGATTTTATTTAGCCCAAGCTAACTCATTATTTATCTCTGAAAGAAACAGAGAACAATAGAACAGCATAACCTTTTACTGATCAGAAGATCAGTATCACAGAATCACAGAATGCTAGGGGTTGGAAGGGACCTCTGTGGGTCATCTAGTCCAACCCCCCTGCTAAAGCAGGGTCGTCTACAGCAGGCTGCACAGGACCACATCCAGGCGGGCTTGAATATCTCCAGAGAAGGAGACTCCACAACCTCCCTGGGCAGCCTGTTCCAGTGCTCCATCACCCTCCGAGGGAAGAAGTTCTTCCTCATGTTCAGATGGAACTTCCTCTGCTTCAGTTTGTGCCCATTGCCCCTTGTCCTGTCGCTGGGCACCACTGAAAAGAGTCTGGCTCCATCCTCCCGACACCCACCCTTAAGATGTTTGTAAGCATTTATAAGGTCCCCTCTCAGCCTTCTCTTCTTCAGGCTAAGCAGCTCAGCTCCCTCAGCCTTTCCTCATAGGACAGATGCTCCCGTCCCCCCATCATCCTCGTGGCCCTCCGCTGGACTCTCTCCAGTAGCTCCTCATCTTTCTTGAACTGGGGAGCCCAGAATTGGACAGAGTACTCCAGATGGGGCCTCACAATCCAAACTCCTACAATTTTCTGCATAAGTCATACTTTATAAACATCTGGTTAGATGTTTAGATAGATGCTCTATCTTTCTTGGAATGTCATACCCATAGTACTTGCACAGAGAAGTAAATTACTTCATGTATCTTACCACAGTATTCCTGCTAACACGGCACAGAGAGTCACATCCTAATTAGTTTGTGATCCACTCCAAACCTCTATCAAATGTACATGACTGTCATTTGCCACAGGAAATACATGCATGATAATCACTAAACAGCTCTGCAATTCAAATGCTTGGGCTGTCTTTAAACCAGCATATTCCAGTCCTCTTTCTCCTATTTCCCATTACCCTAATACAGCTCTGCTATCATGACAGCATGCTTTATCTTCTGAAAATATCTTTCAAAACAAACCTTCATCACCTAAATGACCAAAACCTACTTGCTTATTCAGGAGAAAGTTGGTATACATCTGCCAAATAAAAATGAAAATGCACCATTTAATCTGAAAAAATGGGTCTTGAATTTTTGTGTTCCTCAGTCCTTCATTTTCTGTAAACTCTCTGAGAAATCCTGCAACGATGAACTTCACAAAAACTACAGTACCAGAAAACTTCTAAATAAGGCATCCGATTCAGAAGTGAAAGAAAGACACAATGCTGTTGGACAGTTTCTGCCATATAACTACTTACATACTCTTCCCTTTCATTAAAGATGTCAAAGAACCATTCTGAAGAAGAACCTGAAATGGTAACAACGGATCCGGGAAGGTCTCTTGAATTCAGCCACAGCAGGGTGATGGGGGGAGGAAGAGCGTACTCTTCCTGCTTCTGCTGTCCTTTATCTTTCTCTTTGGAAAAAAGCAAACCACAGGAACCAGCTTTTCTACTCAAACCACCGTCAGTTCAATTGTAATATGGATTAGAGATATGAATGTGTGACTTATCCACATAAAATATCTCAAAAGTAAGAGTGGATGGGTTAGGCTATATAAACCGCACTTATCTGAACCCAACTTACACTTTTCTAATCAATAATAATTTTTTACTGTCCAAATCAGCCTGTAATATTGTTAGATATATTATCATTCCAATGCTTTATATGCTATCAATTCCTAACTGAAATATGAAGATGCTTTGTTTTAATAAATATAGGTATCTGGAAGGAAATTAATACCTATGGCTTCATTCTATTCCTGTGAATCTGAAACTCTGAAGGAGAGAAACCTGAATCTACAAATGTATTCTACATTTCACACTTATTCTTTCACATTTTGAAACAAGAAAGGTTGTGGGGTTTTTGGAAGCTATGTTCTTTTTCTGATTTTCTATTTCTGGGCATTTAGGCATTGCTTGTCAGATTAGGTCTACAGAGTTACAAAATTGGTTATCATTTCTATCCGTACTGTTGTTCTTATATTTTATTCCTCCTGCAAAACAGGTGCATCTTCTGCTCAGCATGTCGTGCATTTTTCTCTTGGGAGAGTGGGTGGTTCTCACAAAACAAAAAAATATTAAGCTCTACAAGAGAGAAACAAATTCAGCAGAAAAAAATCCAGCAAAATGTAATGCTGAACTCTGCTAAACTAATCTTTCTTCTTCTGACACTTCTGTCGAGTCCGTGACAACATCTGTGCATTCTCCCTCCAGTTACAGCAATATTTCCTAAACCTGGCTGAACATTTTAGAAAGGAAGGCAACTTTTAACCCTCCAGTATTCAGCTCATCAGATTATGTTTCAAGTCTGGTATTCAACTATGAATTGAAAAAAGAACTCAGAATTGACAGCAGCTAATTTTAATTCCCCTACAACTGTCATGGCCTCAAAAGAAGGTTTAGCAACCTGAAGAAAACCTGCACACAAGGGGATCTCATGACACAGGAGGATGACTAGTTATGTATCCAAAAATCAAATACAATCAAAATGAAGAAAGACATACTCCTCTTTGTACAAGCTGGCATTTCATCTATAAAAGGCACCTGTCACTTAGACAGGGCACAACCCTCAGCATAATAAGGAGAGCATTATCAAGTGCTGTAGAGCAAGTTTGAAGCTCATAGCGAGATAGGTCAGAAAGCGACAGGGACTTCAAGGGGACCTGTCATTTCATTAACACCACTTCTCTGCACAATCTGCAGAATTCAGGCTCCAAAAAGGCTTCCTAGAACAGTGCAAAAACCACAACCAGTGCTTCCACCAAAAATTGTTTCATGCTGTCTTCAGCTGGGGGATGCACCCAAAACCCTGCATTTTAAATACTAACGTCCAGTTGCACGCTTTCTCCATTAGTGGTTCCTCATCTTCACAGAAGCACTTGATTCCTTCCTGAGAGAAAAACATTTTAAAACCCTGTGGCAGTCAGACCTATAACAGACAAATGAGCACTGGCCCTTCCCCTGTGCTACGGGGCAACCAGCTGGCTTGAGACATTCTCAATTCTCAGCCAAGGCCAGATTTTCACGAGAGCTCAGGTGTCTCACTCAAGCATCACTAGGCCCGTGTGTTGGCTAAGCAAGAGAAAAAAGGAAAGGAAGGAAAGGAAGGAAAGGAAGGAAAGGAAGGAAAGGAAGGAAAGGAAGGAAAGGAAGGAAAGGAAGGAAAGGAAGGAAAGGAAGGAAAGGAAGGAAACCCCACAAAACCAAGAGGCTCTAACTACCTCTATGCTGTATGATTTTCTTGTGGACTGCCCTGGAAGATAAAACCTCAGGAAACTCTTCAACTGGAAGGCTATGTACCACTGTGCTAAGAGCCACAGCTCCCCGAGACCCCTCACTTCCACCTTTCGCTCTCTGCATCACCACCCTCTTCTCACTGTATTCCCACCCATGCGCAGAATTCATCAGCCACTTGCCTTCCATCACAGCACTTAAATGAGTGAATTTTCCAAAGGATTCAACACCCAAGAGCTTCTGTGGGGAAAACCCATGCATTTGGCTTTTCAGTTCCTTTGTAGCTGTGGCCTTCAGCAGTTCTTGGTAAGGCTTTTAAAGGAAACCAAAGGAAGGAGAGGGATGTTTCTCACTTCCCCCTTCTCTTGCTGTCTTGCAGCCCATGGGATCAGAGCGGATGGAGATGCGCAAACGGCAGATGTCGACGACCCCGGAGACCCCAGGCACTGTGCAGCCTCAGCACAGCGCGGGAAACCGAGGGTCCAACGCCTGCTGCTTTTGCTGGTGCTGCTGCTGCAGCTGCTCATGGTAACCCCTCTCACTCCAGCCTCTGGGGAACAGAACAGCAGGGGAGGGAGGCAACAGCCAGTGTGCAGGACAACATAGGCCAAACAAACCACCTGACTAATTCTGCAAACCTGGCACTAAGAGAGATGACTGTGCTTTATTACCAGACACAACCTTCTACTCCAGTTTGCTCTTTTTTTTCCCTGCCATTGAAATTAGAGATTTTTAAAAAAAATCTCTGTACAGTATCGCTGATGTATTTTTGTTGTCAATACTGTGTAATGGAAGGTCTGTTTTGTGCAGGACTAGTTCTCCTCAGGCTTGAACTTCACCAGGGCTTCCACTAAAAACTGAAAGCAATACCAGAATGTCAGAGTTTTAGATTTAGGACTGAGAGTTAACAAGCAGCACAGACTCTGTTAAATGGAGTTAGGAGTAGGTGGAAGAATTTGTAGGTCAGAAAATGAATAATCAGGTGCCCAGCACTGTTCTTTGATTTTGACACCAACTGGATCTGTTGTCATTAATTAGTGCTGCCAACTGATGGCATCTGCAACTCAAAGTTAATCCTTAGGATCAGAAATGTTAAACATTGTGGGTATTTGCTGAAGATGAGGAGTTAAGCAGAACATAATTCAGAAGAACTCCCACTAAAAGGTGTTACGGAAGAAAATTTACCAGGGAAGCAAAGCAAGAGAGGAAAGGGAATCACCTGATTCCTTAAACTAATGATGTGTTCACCTTCTCTCTCTTACCAGCTTCTCCAGATCCAAGTGATTTCATTCAACACTGAAGTAAAACTTTGCATTCTCAAAAGTCCTGTGTTTGTTTGGGGCCAAGTGTTAATGAATGGGTGAGACCAGAACTTGCACCGAAATAAAAAAGTCTTGAACAGCAATAGGAGTTCAGCCAAAACACTGACAGCAACCCGAGTGCTTGTTATCAATACACTCTCCACCATATAAACGCTTCAGAGCAAACAAACCTGGCACTGAGGTGAAGGGAAGAAGTCGTAAATAACCTTACAGCCCAGGCTAGGAATCTATTCCACCACTATTTTTTTCCAACAGCAGCTGGAAGC